CAGTGTGAGTCACCGACCGCTCACACACAGTCTTTCTACCTGTTCATTTGACGTAGCCTCAGGCCAAACTAGACGATCTGCTGCCGATCACTCTGGGTAACGGACGACGTCGGCCATGTCTCGCCAGTTTTCATCGCATCAGAATCGATGCGATGCATTTACTGTATCGTCCTCGACACAATATCGTGCAACGTTTGCCTGCCTTTTTTTGCACGTACTTTGATTGTGTGCCAGTTGTACTCAGTGAATCAGCTAAAAAATGTTTCCACTGTGGAAGTGTTTATTTCTGTAATGGCCCTAATGGATATTTAACTGACCTTTTATCCCAGTTTCAACAGTAAGACTAAAAATAACCTTTTCACCCCCGGGGGCAGTTTTGCATGTCACTGCAGCAGAGACGCTCTGTGCGCAGTAATAACAAATATATAAATAGATACGACAGTAATAACAACATATGTAGATATGGGATATATTGTTGAACAATTTAAAAAAGGTCAACTACTGATCAAAACCTGAACCAATGAAGTCTCACCGTGAACAAGGTTCAACTGTGTGATAGTTTGACATTGTTGATTGTTCTTCTGTGTCGGCGGCCATCTTGAATTCTTTATTATTATTATTTATAACTACATTGTTCTTCTGTGTCGGCGGCCATCTTTAATGATTTATTATATTCTTTATTATTATTATTTATAACTACTTATTAGATCTTTTATGGTTTATTATTTTAGAAAGTTCATGCAGAAAGTCCAACTGTAGAAGATGAAACCAACAATTATTTTTGGTACGTGCATTTGCAGTGTGGACTGCTGCCTGATGGGGGCAGCATTCCAGGTCCTCCTGCCCCCCCGTTCTGCAGAAATCATGTCAAGGTTTGGAGAATTTGTGAACTTTTAGCAGAGACATCATGTGGAGCTGAACACAAAAGTGTCACTGAAGCAGCAGCGATCTCAAAACTCAGCTCCTCCTCCTCTTCCTCCTCCTCCTCTTCCTCCCCCTGCTCCTCCTGCTCCTGCTCTCCTTCTCTCTCAAATTCCCCACTTTATATTTCCCTCCTGTGATGCACCCCTCCACTCCACCGCTGATAAGCAGCATAACGGGGAGGAGCTCCTCTCTCTCCGGGCTCCTCCTACCCACCCCTACGTTCTCCTCTCATTTGCCCCCCCAAACACTCGTATCCACCTCCCTCCCTCTCCTCCTTCGTGCGGGCTTTGCTCGATCGAGAGGGAGGTTGATGAAAAAGAAGTAAAAGACAAGAGAGCCGGGGCGTAGGGGGGGCTCTGTGTTCTAGCAGCCAGCGGAAAAGGCGTCGTTCGCCGGGGCGCATAGAGAGGAGGAACGGAGGAAAAAGGAAAGAGAAACGGCGAAGGAAGGAGGCGACAGAGGAGGCTCGTAAACACGACAGAAAACGACGAATAGGACGACAGGCAGCGGCGATCACCTCCACCACCACCACCACCACCACCACCTCCTCATCGCTCCATCTCCATCCTTTACTGCTGCTGGATCGCTCACTCGGTTTTCGCCCCCGTGGTTCCGAACCGTTTCCTACCACTTGGTGTGTCGCTGAATAGAACATCAGAGAGGAGGAGGAGGAGGAGGTGAAGGAGGAGGCTGAGAGCCATCACTGCCACAGACCGGACAGAGAGAGAGAGTGGGGGGGTGAGGTCCAGCCCGGGACGATCATCTGATCCGGCGGATAAATAAGAGAGAAAAGAGGAGGAGGATAATAAAAACGCAGCGAGTGATGATTGAGTAAGAACGGGGACTGGGGGGGGGGGGGGTCATCAGTTCCCCCGGTTTGTTGTTACCGAGACTCCGGCATCACCAGTGCGATGGCATAGAGGCTCCTGCAGCAGCAGCATCACAGCAGCAGCAGCATCACAGCAGCAGCAGCAGAGTCCGGTCAGTCCATGAGCCCAGCTCATCCACCATGAACCTCTGAAGAAATCCGACACAAGCACAGATGGCACAGAGGAGATGCTGTGTGTGTGTGTGTGTGTCAGTGTGTGTGTGTGTCCTTTTATATTCAGTTCCGGGACACAGAACCTTTGAAGGGGTTGAAAGGATCCAGAAGGTTAGTGATGTGGTCAGATCTTGATCTTAGTATGTGTGTGTCAGTTGAGTTTGTGTGTGAGTGTGTGTGTGTGTGTGTGTGTGCAGATGTCCTGGCCTTTCACTGCTGGTCAGGTGATCAGGGTGTAGTGTAATGAGAGCTCGAAGCTTTACCACCAAACCTGCTAAAACGGTCCAATCAGTGCCAGTCCTGGAGCGTGTCAGCTGATGGTGTTCCTGTGTTTGGATCCACACTTCCTGGATTTTGTGGATCTTTTTTTTTTTCTGTTTTTCTTCGCTGCGTGTCCTTGAGTGACTGCGTGGTATTTCTGTACCTCCCACGTGTGGTGTTGGTTTTCACACCCCCCAAACCCCCTTCACTCCCCCCTCCACCTGAGCTAATGTTAGCCTGGTCACAGAGGAAAGGCCAACAACGTAAACTCTGCTTCCTCCCCCCCCTTCCTCCCCCCTCCTCCCCCTCACTCCTCAAACATCATCTGACTCAACGTATCTGTAGTCAAACCGCTGTTAGAGCCAATCCTTCAATTTTGTTATTTCCCATGAGAGCTGATGTGATGGGGGAGGGAAGGGAGGGGGGGGGGGCGACCACCTACTGATGGGTCATGTATTGATCCGAGACCCCAGATGGCGTCAAGGATAGGTGCAGTAAACAGCAGTCTGTGACCGATTCCCTCGACGCGTCGCCCTAACGTTGGGGCAGTTAATCAGCCGTGGCTCCATCAGTGCCGCTAAGTGGGGCAACTGTTGCAGATTGTGGTCCTATCTGGGAGTTCAAAAGGCTGAAGCAGTGGAAACTGTGGATCAGTGGAGTCGGTCCAATTCCCATCAGGGATGTTAGAGTGCCGTAACATCAGTGGGATGAAACAAAAACAAAAACATTTGTTTCACTGAAGGAGCTCAAGTTTTTTAAACACCATCCTGTGTTTGTGGAGGCTTCAACTTCAGGTCAGACGTCCAGCCTGTGTCAGACCAACTTCACTGAGTTCAGAACAGTCAACAAGTCCACAGCTGGCTGCTGACGGACACTGTTGCCAAGTGGGTTGTAGACCAGGGGTGCTCAATAAGAAGGTCGGGATCTACCAGTAGATCAGACCAGTAGAGGGAGTGTTGGTACGTCATGAGCAATTAAAGAAATATGATAAAATAATATATAAATAAGTCTATAGTGTGTAGTAGTGATCATATGTTGTAAGAATTGAATCATGTAATCACTACCCAAACATATATTTATATTTACATATAACTATGTTGACTTTAGACGGATGAAGGTTGGTTGGAGAAACAAACTCGACTGTTGACTTAGTGACTAAATCCACCAACTGTGGGAGGAAACAACATTTCCAGTTAGGGATGTTCAGGATCTTCTTGACGTTTTCCCTGGAGTTCTGAACAGGAACAGCTCTGATGTTGACACCTCGTCACTAACACAGTCAACAGCCACAGGCGGATTCAGGTGTGAACACTGTTCCACTTCAGTCTGTGTCTTCACCTGAAGGTTTGTGACTCTCTGGTCGTTACCGTGTAGACGTTCCAGTCCAGAGATGACATCAGAGATGACATCAGAGATGATGCGTTTGTCCATCAGACGTTCAGTGCTGTCTGTTGGGCACAACACACTTGGACAAATGTGGAAACAATTACACGAGTTCAAGCAATCACAAGTAATCACCGATCTACTAAACGAGCGTTGGTTTTAATCAGAAACAGTTTGATCTTTACCTCAGGTGACGTTTACACTGAGGGGTGAGACGTAAAGATGGAACCCGAGCGGATCGGGGAGGGAGGACCACGGGTTTAATCAGTCGTCGTCGTTTTAATAGAGTGTATGTGAGGATTCGGGAGAAGCACCTGAGCCTCGGAGCTGAAGCTCACTTCATTTGACAGATTTGATTAAAAGAAAAACCTCCTCCTCTGATTTCTCCCGTTCTTCTGCACAGACAGATTTTAACTTTGACGTTTGATTCACTGGCCTGAACAAAGAAAAGAGAAAAGAGTGAAACAAACAGAGTCACACAGTGTTTGCATACGTCGTTATCATCGGCTTCATTTTCATACCTTTATGCCATAAAGGGAAAAAAAAAATCACGTGTGAGGTTGACATTGAGGGGGAAAACCGTTGGTGTTTCAGTGACGGTTAAGGCTGCGCTCGTCGTTCTGTCCCTGCTTCGGTTGGAAGTTGTTTATAGATATATTTGTTTATGCAACGTGTGATAGTCCGATAGTTGGCAAGTACAGTTGCTGCGGTGCTGGATATTCCAGTCGCAGAGAACATTGTTTACGTTCAGTCTACCAGCCCTTATTTGCTGACGTTCAAATGACACACGGCAGTTTTCAGTATGAAATTAGTGACGGACCAATGTCAAACTTGCACCTTGCGTTGGAGATCGACACCAACGCTCCGCCCACAGCGACGCACCGTTGCCTCGAATCACCGACGTTATAAAGGAAACTACCGTTCGTAAAAAAAAAAAAAAAGGAAACGCAGTATTTTGTAGTTGCTCCGAGCTAAGAGCTCGACTACGATGAGTTTGGCGATCGAACTGTGGGCTGATAATCGAATTTAGTTTTTATAACAGATTGCGAAGAAAAACGGAAACACACAAACAAACAAAAACTTTCGGGGAGTGGTTTCAGGATTCTTTCCTGCCTTCAATTTCCTCTAAGCAACTGAGCTGCGATGTCCGCAGGCTCCTCAACAAACAGCCACGCCCCGTATATAATGACGGACTGACTCCTTAACTCGGACCTAAGGAGCTTAAACCGGCTCCGGAGCAGTTTTATGTGGCCATAGCAACAGAGTCAGCGTTACGGTCAAGCCTACTTCGTGAAACCGGAAACTCAAGAGTTCCTTCCGATACGGAGTCAACTCAAGTTGAAGTCCGCTTCAAGAAACGGACCCCAGGTATTTGTTTCCCTTTCTCATCCAATCAAGTAGCAGTTTAGTAGGTGACAACCGGACGATGTCGGCCTCTTCAGTTCAGAACTGGAAACCAACACGGTCCACCTGCCTCCACTGAGAACCGACACGAACATACACAGATAAGTGCAGTTTCTGAAACATGCCACGTCAAATCCTGTTGACTGAGTGACGTTGGCACAGTCTAATTAGCAGAACAGAGGGTTTTACATGTTTGGTAGAGGAAAAGAACAAGTCACAGAAATGTGAAGGGTATCACGTTTTTACCACAATTTATCAGAACTCAAATATTAGCCATTATGTTAAATGTTAGCCAGTCCCTACGTAAGCTAACACAGTACAACTTCAGTAGTTTCTTTTTCTTTTTCTGCTTCTTCGACTTCTTCGTCCCTGAAGTGTTTCTGCTGTTAAGGTCCTGAAGATGAATGAGGTAAAAGGGACACGATTATTTAAGAAGACAGAAACCAGTGGAACTGTTATTAGCAATGATGCTAGTTATTAGTTATGATTAATTAGATATTAGTAATGATGCTATGCTAAAGATAAAAAAACAAGTTTCTTTTTTGTTAACAATGTCATATCAGAGATAACCGATTGCAGCCCAGAGCAGGAAACGTGATGTTTGGTTCCGTCGTGATGTTTGACATTGAACATGTTTGGTTTCAGCAGTGGCTGCAGTTCCTCCGTCTCAGCTCAGGTCGGTTTATACCAGCACAATATGAAAAGCTGGTGTCAAAATATCAGTAACGTTGTGAACCTGCAGCTTTGCACCAGACGTGTTTTGTAAAGTTGGACGATGTTTAGAACCAAACCACTGGGCGTCTGTCGGGTCAACAGTTGGACGATGTTTAGAACCAAACCACCGGGCGTCCGCAGGTCAAGAATGTTTAGTTCAGAAACCCTGAACGTGTTCTATTTTGCTGCAGTTTCCGGTGGTGAAAACCGTGTCTGCTGAAGTCTGCTCTGGACTCAAACTTTTTTTTTTTGCATTCTGCAAGAAGTGTAGGAAAAGTCTGCAGGAAGTGACCGCAAACTAAGTTTGTTGTGATAAGCAGATGGATGCAGATATCTACTTTCCTGCAGTCTGTGTGTGTGTGTTAGTGTGTGTGTGAAGGCCACTGCAGGGAAGCCAAGAGAAACAAAAATATGTTCGTATAAATTCAACCATCAGATTGAAAACGTTACCTGGGAAACGCCACAATTTATTTATGTAGTGTGGTTTGTCTGCAAACTTTCTGAAATAATCCAGGAGAAAAAAACCCAAAGATGTTTTTACCAAATATAATTCAGCTCTGTCGTCAAGTCATCAGTAAAAGTCGAGGGTTTAAAACTTGCAGCTTTACAGGAAATAAACAACTCTTCAAGTTACTCCAGGTCTCTAAGAGAAAATCCTGCTGTGGTTGTGTGTTACCCGCCCCCGTCCCGCCCCTGTCCCGCCCTGCCGTCGTCGTTAGCACTGGAAGCTCTACTGTTGTGTGTTAACATCATGGATGTTGTCTGTGGTAGCTGGGACTGGGCTTGAAGTGGTTTTCTGTTGTGTTTTGTGTCGTCCGATCGTCCACGTGTAACTGAGTAAACGGGTATAATACAGTTAAAATCATACCAAATAAGAAGTGTATTTATATAAATATATTAACCTCAGAACAGTAACAACTCCCAGGTCAGCCGGGCCAGTAGTCAGACACGTGAGGTGTTTGGTATTATCATGACTTTGGATGTGCAAACAGGGCAACGCTCACTTCCTGTTTTTCGCAAGTTGATCTTAGCAGCCTCTGTGTCTCTCTATCTAGATCTGTCTGTCTCTGTCTGTCTCTCTGTCTGTCTCTGTCTGTCTAATCAACAGACCTTACTTTGTGTGTTGGGATATTTTGTTTTTTTTTGTTTCCCCTGCCAACTCTTTATGTTGCGACATTGTTGTTGTTTTAGCATCTTATCATCTTGAGTCTCTTCAACTCAACGTCTCACTTCTAGCAGAGCGTTGATCTGAGAGATTGGAGAGACAAAAGTCACACAAGTTGTTTTGTACCTGTGTCCATGCTGTGAAGTGCTGGGTGGAGACGTTAGAGTCAGTGTTGGGTGAAGCAGAACAGTGTGTGAGGTGGGGAGGTGGGGGGGTGTGTTTGTCCCAGCAGCTACGGTTACTTCCTGCCCAGGGAGGTCCTCGGTATTAATATGTTCTTTATTCTGTTGGAAGTCTTCAGGACAAAGGGATGTTTTCACCGCTGCAACAGGGGGGTGAAAACCCCCGGTGGGCGCTGAAGTAATTAAAAGACATAATTCAGCAAAGACACGGGGGGACAGTGTTCACATCATGCAGAGAAAATTCAACTCTTTCTTTCATTTCCTGTCTGCTTTATTCTCACTTCGGCGGTCTTCCGCTGACCTGGATTTCAACGCCAAGCAGGATCTCCTGTGCATCGTTACTGCTGTGTACTTAATCTCCGCAGCGCAGGCGGGATCGCCGTAATCTGCACAAGATACCAAACTGTGCCAACGTCATGCACGAGTTACAGCTGACGTCCCACTGCTGAGGGGAATTGAACCGTGTTCCATCACTGGTCGAACATCTGTAGACACTGAGAGTTTGGCTGAGATTTAAAATTCCTAGAAAGAAACCGGCAAAAAAAAAAACTGGGACAAAGGTTTGACTTGTCTTCAGACGGAGTTTTTCTCCCTCCTTCATTCTCCACTTGTCACCTCCTCTACTGCACTCCTACGTGTTCTATACTGAACGCCCGCTGTTCTCACGTTGAAAGCACCCTCCGTGCCAGCGTTCGCCACTGACGGCGTGCTCCCTTCAAAGACCGCGGGAAGAACGATCAAAGTGAGGATGAAGCAAGGATGATGTCAGAAAACGCACGTTTCCTTGTTAGGCAGTTTGGCGCCCCCCCACCGCCATTTAACCCGGGGAGTTCAGCGCCCTCATTAGTCGGTTGACGGTGTTTGATGACTCCGTGCTCCTCCCGCTCGCTAACCTGCTGCTGCCACGTGACGAGCAACAGAGACAGAAATATCGTCCTCACTCCGTGCGTGGAAAACGCAGCGTCCTCCGCCGCACTTGGACTCTGAACACTCCCAACGTTTTCTCTATTTTTGTAAAAAAAATACCCGCAGGCGAGTGTTGCGACACTGACAATGTCTTTCTGATGTGTTATTTCTTTTTTTCCCCTGACGACAGTCGGTTGACAGCAGACCTTACAAATAAAAACCAGATTTAAGAAGAGGCAGGAATGTTGAGTAGTTAACTTGGTTTTGAACGACCACGGGCGACGACAGACGAGTTTGGAGGTTACCTCAGCGGTGTCCCACCTGACAGAGATATTTATAGTTTGTCATTGATCAACACAGTTATGTTTACTGTATGATGTACTCCTCTGATTGGCAATTGCTTGAACCCAGCCAATTAGAACTGCGTTGAGTGATCAGGTTCAACCTCATGATTTTATTCATCTATTTTCAACCTGAGTGAAAGTTCTAGAAATATTATCTATTTCGTATAATTACAAGGTGTGTCAAACTCATTTGGTTCACAGCTGCATACAATCTGATTAGATTTTTATTTTCAAAATTCAATAGGTTCGGACAGAGCACCCCAGTGGGCCAGTTTTGCCCCATGGGCCGCATGTTTGACACCTCTGGTAAGCCATTCGTTCTTAACAAGGTGAAGAGTCCACGGTCAAATCAATCATTGTTACAACAGACCTGAACAACACAGACATTTCTTCACTGACGGCTCCAGTTGCCGACTTCCTAAAGCGTCCAATCACTTTTTATTTTTTGCTCTGTGTCTGGAGCCGCATTCTGCAACAACTGTAAACTTGCGACAGAAGTTGCTCCATCTGTTTCCTATAGAGCGCCGTAGCTTTGCACAACACAGCACATCT